AATGTCGCTTCCTCCTTTTGGTTCCTGTGTCACTAGCCTCTAACACCCCCAAAATACCTTTGTGCTTACTCTGTGCTGCTTTTCTCACCTTGCAGAAGTTTCCCATAAGCATCTGCAGAACTAGTGTTGCCTTTTCTCCAGCCTCTCTTTAGAACTCATTTGTCATCATTCTTAGCAAAACCGTTTGATAACTAGCTACTAGTATGCTGAGATCATTGTTGGGGTGTTTTGTTTCTTATACCTTCTGTCATTCTGTATTTGAATGGTAACATGTTTGCATCAGGCAGACTCTGCTTGGTCTGTACTTCTAAAGCATTGATGCCCTGTTTCATCACCTGGACATCTAAATGCAAATAATAAGTACAATTAAAACAGGATTAAAACTGGTATTGAGTTCTGAAATGGATCAGTAATCAAGTCTTTCTACTGTACGTGATTAGACTGGCTGTTCCTCACCTGGCAGTTTCTTTGAGTTCGTCTTATTGTTGTGTTTTCTGCTTAGCACCATAGAGTAGCTCGTTCAGCCTGCAGCAGCGCATTTGCTGCCTGGTGGGATGAGCAGGTCCCATTGTGCCCATCTCCAGGGGAATCCACTTCCTCCTTATGTGCTGCTGGCTACAATTCAAGAGGCTGACTGCTAGGTATATCATTTCTGTGAGCTGTAACTCGAATGATACCCTAATTTGCTATATTTCAATATATAGAACAAATCTAAAGAGGTTTGAAGGTTCAGGAGCAGACAGCAGGCAACTTTTCTAGCAGGCCTTGTCCATGGGGTTTCTTTCATGCCTTTCGACAACTGAGGGAGAGCCATGGCCTTATGTTATCCCTCATGGTGTGCAGTGAAAGGCTATATTTTGGACAGTCCTGACGGTTCATTACTGGTTGACTTACTGAATACAGATATAGTTTAAAATTGCAGGAGGAGTTCATATAATTGTTAAACAATATCTAGAAGTTATATGGCTAGCTCATGTTTTTACTTTGCAATGTTATGCTTCACAACACAGGTGTCTTGTTCAGAGCTGTATAATTATTCTTTCTGAGTGCTGTAACAGAAAACTATATGTTTTTTTTGTTTGTTTTGTTTTGTTTTTAGTGAAAAACAGTAGCTACAAATGACTATTGCAGTATTAAAGCTAGCTAAATTGAACAGATGAAATAGTGAAAGACTGGCAAGTGGAAGTTACACTGATAACTCATTCAAATATTTTTATTTACTCAACAATTCTGGGGACAGTAAAGCTTTGATTTTGAACTACAGCCCTTTGCTAGTGTGCCATCTTCTTGATTAGCATGGAGGTCTAGCTACCTCTCATCAAACTGTGCCCTGCAATTGACAGGTATAAGCATTACTTGGCAGGGAATTCATCTCACTGATCATCTGAATAGCCTCACAGCAATCCCTGTTTTTTTATTGACAGCATGGGTACCCTGAGCTCCTTTTTTTCCAGCATTCCTAAGTTTAAGAGGTGGATAAAATGGCTTTACAAAAATAAAAAAAGTGTTTTGTTCTTAAATGAAAACAGATTCTGATGTCAGCACATGTGTCCGTGAGCTAAGGCTCTCCTATCATGATGTAATGCTACAATGAGGAGTTTTGGCAACAATGGTGGGAGCCCCAAAACGAAGGTCTCCTCAGTGGCAGAACTTTTTGATCCCAAAAGGGGAACTCACAACCTATGTGTTATGATACTTATTAACTCTACAGCTACCAGGAGAATTATAATCTCCAAATAAGACTCACACCAAGCAAAAGCTTAATGGGAATCTAGCAAAAATATTCAAGTGACAATTCTTCCCAGTAAGGTGCAATTTAATACATCTTTCACTTCCATAGGACCCAGGAAGCTGTAACTGATTGCAGTTTACAGCCAAAGCCCTCTCCTGGGGTTTTGGAAATTGGCAGCTGGCATGTACTTTATTTTTCAAATGTTGCTTTGACAGAAGAAAACCACATTTTATGTAAGTCTACAGGTTAAATCTGAGTACTGACCTTGGAAAATAAATCCTGAGCATAAGTTCTTGTTTGCAAGTCATATCTGGTTTTGCAATTCATTGATTTTGTAATACAAAATATAAAGATTGTCCTGTGATCAAAAACCAAAAAGTTATTCTTGCAGGGAAGATCTACATGATTCATGTCACTCGGATGCAGATTTAGATTCCTTCTGTCTGAATACAGATAGCCAGGTAGCCTAGGGGAGTGTTCTCATTGAGTTTTTCTTATAAAATCATACTGTTTTCCCTCTAACAGTGACTTCAAATAAAGTGGGCTTAGTTGATTTTTTTATTTTTTTTTTAAGGGAGTGCAGTTAGCCCATGATAGTCATTTTTTGAGAGTTCCTACTGGGTTAAGGCTTAGCTCTACAGAGCTAGACTTGGCCTAGGTACATGCAAAAAGCATCATTTTAGGTGCCAGGGCTGCTTTACTGGAGAAAATACGTGTGCTAGCAGCTTTTTCAGCCACCTGAGATGGTGTCTACGGCAAAGCTTTAGAAGTCAGAAATATTCAAACCAAAGGAAAAGCCCATTTCAGAAGTCACTTCTGAAAGTCGCAGGGGAATTGGTGGCTGTATTTCAGTATAGTCATCATCAGGTGCTTAATTTTCACTCATGAATACCCTCTTTCCACTTCACTGAAGCTATTAGCATCATGCTTTAATCTAGCATATATTTAAGTGACTTTTTGATTAAGAGTTTATCCCAAGCATAACTGCATCCTAATAGACTGGATGAATGCAAACCCTGCCCAAAACTGATGTACTGCCAGTTCATCTGGAGTACTAGCTACAATAATTTGGGGCAGAACACTGTCACACTGACATTCAGCTTTGGTTCTTCCTTCAAATAATAATAATAAAAAAGTATCATCAGACTATTACTTTGATTTTTATAACTATGAAATAGTAATGATGCCAGTTTGTCCAGTCTATCAGGCTAAATCCAGGAGTATATAAGTAACTGTATTGATACAATCCTTATTTATTATTATTATTTGGTAAAGTAAAATACCCAAAGTTTCCTATGCTGTGCAGTGCTAGAGACACTACAGTACATGCTAAACAATGGAGTTGAGCAAAGAACTGGGCTTAATTCAAACATGGGATATGGTTTTCACAGAATTTTGTTTAAGTGTCCTAATGGATATTGTTTGGGGAATAAATAAATAAATAAACAAACAAATACTATTATAGGCAGTCAACCTGTAAGGAGGAATAGAGGAGGACAAATAGCTTTTGTTTATAGCAAAAAGTGACTGTTGGCTAAGAAGTAGTGTTTATGGTAATTGAGCTTTTACAAGGAAATAAAATGTAGTGGGGAGCACAGGGGGTAGCTTTTGCAGCGAAGCAGGTAATGAGGAGATCTGTGTAGTCAATTCCTGATTAGCATCTGCTGTTTCAACAGCTGAGGAACATGACTTGCATGTAAATGCCTGTGCTAGGGTGTAGCAGGTATTCCCTCTAGCATGTCACCCAACCTGCTGGTTTTGAGTCTCCTTGAGCCCTACCATGATTTGAAATCAGCAGAGGGGAAAGGAGAGTAGCACAACCAGCAGCTGCCTTGGAACAGGGGGAGAAAAAAAAAAACAAAACAAAAAAAAAAAAACAACAAACGTGGCAAAGGAGAAATTGCTGTGAGGAAATTTCCTCTCATGGGTTTTGGGTGCCTCTAGTACAGATTGTATTTGCATTTCTGCGTATGTACATACATACATCTGTACACATAGGTGGTAAAGAAGTGGTGGTGCAAAATTAATTTATATAATTTATATTAATAGTGTTAAATGAATATTGCAAGGAGCCAGTAGCAGAAGGAGAGAAGTAGAGAAAGAAAGAAAAGATACTGTGATGGAGAAGAGATATATATTATATTTCCAGAATTTTATTTCTTAGGAAAGATAACTGAAAGTAATATAAATAAATAAAAATAAGAATAAAGAAAAAAAAAAAAGGAGGATTTACGTCTACGAACTTTGTGCTCTGGAGGCTTAGCAAGCCATCTTCCACTTTCCTACTTCCACCTTCTCCTTTTACGATGGGATTATCATCCAGTCCAAAGCCTTCAACATACATGACCAAAGACTGAAAATCAGTCTACGTTCACACAGAATCCCATTTTCTCATGATAAAAAGTGTAAATGAAATTTAATGGTACATTAAAATATGTAATTTTGTTTATTAACTTTTTTTTTCTTTTTTCTTTTTTTTTCTTTCCCCTAAGGACCTTGGTAAACTGTCCCAATATATGTTTACATTCTTTATTTTACTATTGTTTTACTACTTGTTTTATTTAAAGATAAAAGAATATGGCTACTGGGCTCCAGAAGTTAGTGCTTAGGTTAACCTTAATAAAGAGTTCAGAACAACTGCTCTGTTACTGAATGTGACTTGTGGAAACACTAGAAATATTGCGATGAACACTGAGGATGTCAATAGGAATTACATTTTTTAGTACAGAAATCTGTACATGAACACAGTATTGTCCTGCAGTGTTACAGGCCCCAAGGCCTGCTCTAGGAAATGATGCATTTTATAATATTTTGGTGACAGCGATTTTTAAGCATTAAATATTAGTTGTTGTAAACCATAGAGGGAGTTTATAGCATTTATTACACCTGCCAAGTAAGCTAAAACTGAACAATTGTTTTCTCATCAATGTTATTTTAGCACAGACTTTCTCAATCAAGATAAACAAGGATATCCTTGCAGAAAAGCAAGAAATAATTATGCCTATATTTTAAATAGTGTTTTTATGTTTGTGCTGCTTCCTCTGTATTTGAAGATATACTATCCCTGTTGCACAAACAGGGAAAGAGAGGCATCCACGAGAGGCAAAATATCTTCACCTTGAGGTCATCTAGAGGAAAACAAATCTTCTGGTCTCAAAACAGAACCTTATTATAAGTCTTATATTAAATTAATCAAGAGGTGTTCATGAGTTAACAAAACAGAAACAGCACTTCTGAGATATCATTTAACATTCTTTTCCTCCCACAGGAACTTTTTACACCGGAGTGCAAATTCAAGGAGTCTGTTTTTGAAAATTATTATGTAATCTACTCGTCCATGCTCTACAGACAACAGGAGTCCGGAAGGGCCTGGTTCTTGGGGCTGAACAAGGAGGGGCAGGTCATGAAAGGAAACAGAGTAAAGAAAACAAAACCAGCAGCTCATTTTCTACCCAAGCCATTGGAAGGTGAGGTTCAGTCCATCACTGGCAGATCTTCCTATAAATCCCAGGAAAAGAAGAGGGAGTGGTTTCTAAAATACCTTTTGTGAATGTGTGTGCCACATATAGGGGCCGCTCCAAGTGACAGTCGCCAGGATTTATGGAGCAGATTTGTGCTTCGGCATACTGATGCTAGAAAGGACAGGTCTAAAACCATTCTTTCAAGGGATTAAGAGGTGATTTTGCAAGAAAAGAAATCTTTTGTGGAAGTGCTTTGTGCTGCCTTTAAAATATTCTCTTGCTAGCAGCAAAGATTCTTGTGAGTCTTGCAGTGAGATAATACTCTTTTCATTAATCAGAATGAATTAATGGATATTGTAGGATAGTTGGGAGTTATAACTGGAATGGATGAAATGTCAGTATTTCAAGGTAAAAACCTTCTAATACAAAACACAAAGGTCTGTTTATAAAATAAATCATACCATATTACTTAACCAGTTGATGTAATGCACATAACTTGTGTAAGTTGGTTATTAAACAAAGGTAGAAGCAAATAAGTCTTACTGACCTTACACACTAAAATGGTGTCACACGTTCCTTGGAAAACTTATTCACTTATATCTTGGAAACAGAATTTATGATCATTTCTATTTATTCTGCAGGCCTTTTCTTATCCCTTTTGCTTTTTGTATCCTGTCCTGGCAGCACTTCAAATTTCACTAAGATCATTGCTTCACACAGCCTCAGTCATTCTGAAAATTATTTCATTACTTAACATCTTAAAACACACAAAAGTGATGCTTTATTTAGCAGTCTCATTTCTTTCTTTTAACATTTTAACTGAAAGTTTTGATTAATGGATCAGTTTGTTAAATGTTTTAGATTCTTTATGATGAAACTCTGAACAATCCTATGTTTTAAACTTGTCTTTGAACTCAGGCTGATGCCTTTGTGCTTCTCTTGTTTTGCAAGTTTTATGCATTTCCATAAGCTTTCTATTCTACTAACGTTTTATAAGTCAACCTGTGTAAATTATAAGAACTGTAGGGGGAGATCCCAGTGCATTTTTAAAAGTAACATCCATGCATATAGATTAGGAAAAAAAAAAAAAAAAAAAACTTTTTTTTGTAAATGTTTGGATGGTTAGATGCTCCCAAAATACCCCAGGCAAGGCATAGAAAAAATAATATATATATATATTACATTGCCCATGACAGTTATTAAATATTACGGCTCTTCTATGTTATTCCTTACTTTATAGTTTCATTTCATGTTATTTGACTTAATATTTTTTGTAGGTCATAATGTTACTTCATCAAGCTCTTTACTTAACCAGAAAAGTGTCCTAAACACAGCTGTGGGGGCTCACCCTGAAGACAATCATATCCAGGCTTATGTACTCTAGAGAAAACATTTAATTTCAGACTTTCAGAAGCCATAAAATGATTTAGATTATGGTACTGGAAACGTTAGAACAAGTATTTGATTAGTTATCAAATTTCATATTTATTATGAAACCCCACACCACCGAGCATTAAGGCCTGTACTTTGATGCTCCTGCCTCCTACTCTAATTAGCCAAGGAATGAATTGTGCTCTCTATAGCAGCACACCCAAATCATAGTGTGATGATTAATTCTTTTGACTGCTTTGATATGTCTTTTAACACTGCTCTGGTATATTATAAATAAATACTACTGAACTTAGGCATAAGTGGAAATATTACCTGATTCACTGACATGGAAAAATAAATTGAATGATCCAAGAGCATTAATCATTAAGGCAGCTTAATGCCGAAACTGTGTAATTGAACACATGTATTTTTCTCAAAGGATTTGAAGTGGTTAGATAGGGACTGAAGCCCAGAGGCAAAGTTTTAATTCTGTTAATAGTTAATTTGGAGTTTTCTACACTTTGTTCAGTGTAGTGTTTTTCTACACTTTGTTCAGTATTTCTTCATAAATGAATCCTGCATATGGTTTTGGTAAGGAAGAAAACCCCCAAACTTCATGTGGACTCTGCAGAATACACCTGGACACTTCTTCAGTGCAGACCTCAAAAGATTATGGCCAAGGTACTCAGACTTGGGAGCCAGATGTACAAATAATTTAGTACAACTGTACCCAAGCCTAGTTTTGCTATGTAGGTCTGAAAAAGGACATTTAAGTCTAGACAACTCATAACATTTTACTTCTAAAAGCTCATAGAATATTTATTTAAGGGTTGTAGATATGTGTGTATATAAAAATATATGCCTGTCTCATGCAAAAACATAATGGTAGTTTTTAATTTCTGAGGCTTCTATAGTTTACTTTTAACAGGCAAGCATACAATTTCCTACCATTTTTAACACAGACATGGCAGAAGTGAGAAATGTGGAGGGTCAAGCAAAGATAACACTCATGCAAAACAAGCCTTTGTCAAAGTAAATAATTTCCCTTGCATGCAAAAGAAACGTGGTGTATATTAAAATATTAGTTATTGTAGATAATTGATCTTATTTGAGTTATGTTCTTAAATGAGATACATCCTTAAGAATGTTTCTCTTTTTTTTTTTTTTTTTCTTTTCTCCCCTCAGTTGCCATGTATCGAGAACCATCTTTGCATGATATTGGAGAAACAGTGCCAAAGGCTGGGGTAACTCCAAGTAAAAGCACAAGTGCATCTGCAATAATGAATGGCGGCAAACCAGTTAACAAGAGTAAGACGACATAGCCAGATCCTCACAGGTGTTGTGACTGACTGAGTCCCGAGTGCAGTTGAGCAATTTATCCTTGCCGGACTTCCCCTCTGCAGTGTCTGTGGATCAGCTCGCAGCAAGTACTTGCGCGTTGCTGTTTCTGAACTGAGTTGTCGCAAGCGGATAAATCTCAACATGTAGCTCCCCCCACAACAAGAAGACACCTGGATGAACCAGCTAAACTCAGACCATGGAATGCCCTACCAGATATTGGAATGCCTTTTTAATATCTTTTCTGTGACTGTGACACTTCATGTGAATGACATACTTCACAAGTACACTTGATACCTTGCCTGCTGACAATTACCCATAATCCCTTTTTGAGTCCAGTTTCAGCAAAATCCATGTGTTTAAGTTCTATTTTGTAGCACACAAATAATCAAGTAATTTCTAGGTAGATGCTGTAAACCTGTGCTATTATGGATTTCTCTTCTTCCCTTTTTTATAAGGCTGCTCGCTCCACTGTCTGTGACCTTTTGCAGGGATTGTGTTTCTCTATAACTTAAGTGTTGCCGGTGGCTTAGTTTTGAAAGCAATCAGGGAATCAGGAAGCCTTCAAAAATCTATTATTACAAATTATATCTATAAAGAATAGGATCGTTGTCTCTGGCTTACAATGTTGATCAATGTGAATACTCTTTAGTAACAGATACTGTGCTTCTGAGGTGGCATTATAGTGGAGGGAAGAGTGTCAAACACAACCAACAAGAAGTTTTCTGAAACGCGTGTTTGGCATCCCCCTATAGTTTCTTTGTGTGTGTGTGTTTTATACATATCACAGGCTTACTGGTAATGGTAACATTTGCCTTGCCCAGCGAGCAAGACCCACTCATTTTTGGGAAAGTGGGTCCAAAGAATTTTGTAGGCCTTGTAGGCCTGAATTAAGGCTCATTTTTCATCTACTAAATCTTCATTGTTTGAAAAACAACCACCACCAGTAAACAAAAGAAGTTAAGATTAACCAGAATTGCGCTACCTAAATCCATTTCAAATATAATCCTTTCCTGTTTTTAAGGAACAGAACTTAATGCCATTGTTATTTTTGGCTGATTTCCACACCTACTTAGCAAAGCATGGGCAAGGATGTTGTGTGTTCTTTTTGCAGCACCAATGCAAAGGGTAGTTAAAAATTATAGTTTAATATTTCTGGTGTTTTAAAATAAAAAGTTTTAAAACTGGACATATTACAAAACTTTATTTTTATTTTTAGCTAAGCATGCAAAGTCCAGTCCTATGTATCTCACTGATATCCCAGTACGTACCTCTACCCAGCTTCCTAGGATAATATGCCCACCAAATTGCTAGATTGAAGGTGCCTTGCCTTGATCTCTGTCTACTGTACTTTCTCCTACATGAACCTAGAAGAAATCAAAAACATTACAAAATTGAAGCCTTGGATCATACTATGAGAAACACTATCACCACTTTGAGTTTGTCACTTCTGAACAATGAAAATGATGTTAGGGGGAAAAAAGAATTAGACAATACCACAGAGATGCCACTGAAGTGTTACATACTTAAGTCACATGCTTTCAGAAACTAAGAATGTGGATAATCTCTGTATGCTTACTAAGGTATTTGTTTCTCAGAAAGGGCAACAAGGACCAAACTGTACCTCAGTCTGGAAAACTGTGTGACAACACTCTCTTGGCCTCTTGCTGTTATCTTGATATTTAAAGAAAAGAAAAAAAAAAAAAAGAAAAAAAAAAAAGAAAAAAAAAAAAAGGAAATCATCCATTCCTTTTTTACTATTGTATTTCTTGCAGTTTATTTTATCATGTCTTTGTGCTGAAGTGTCCCTAACAGAGACCACTGGTTATTTCAAACTTCCTATCTGCTCAGCTGAATAACTGATTCAGTCTAAATGAACTTTTCATGCTAATTTTCAAATGTGTTCTGTTTTTATATGCAACATTTAGTGCACTGTTCAAGGAAGCTACTATAAAGCTGCTAAATTATGATTTCCTTTTTGGTAGGCCAGACTTCCTTGTTTATATATGTAATATGAGAATAGCAAGCGAACACTTGATGTTGGGTCTTTCCAGGGAGGGAATGAGTCAAGCATGAAGCCATGCTTGACCATGTACAAAGAAAACAAAATAATACAAAGCTAATTTAATACTGTGATAAAAATGCAACAAAACTTTAACTTAGACTGTGCCCTTGCCTGCTAGCACTAAATGTGTGTGTGTGGGGGGAAACAACATTTTGATAAAAACCTCGGTGCACCCTTCTCATCCCACCCAGTCCAGTGGGATTTGTGCACCATCCCTGAGGAAACAGAACAAAACCAAAGCAACTCACACGATGAGTTGGTGGCTTGCTTTGCATCAGGAGGACCCATGGGAGGCAGCAGTCTTGATGCTTTCCTACCTGCTGGGTCTCCAAGGAGAAGCAATTCACAATTATTTTGAGTAACCTAATACAGCTGAAGGCTATATTCTCTTTCTCTCTCTCACCTAATCTTTTGAGAGCTCATGAGGAGGGAATACATGTGTTCATGTCCCAATCCAGCTGTCTTTTGACTCTTGCAAGTGTAAGAATCTGGGCACAGACAGGACTGGAGAACTGGCTAAGTTGTGCAAGGAGCTTCTGGTTCATAGCCTGATGCTACCTAAGTATGTTTTTTAACATTAAACTTTCAATCCCAGGTAATTATAATCTGAGAACCAGTTTGGGGGGGGGGCTACAATTAAGGACAGGTTTAATTTTTGTAAGCAGTTAATACATTCTGGAAATGCACCATAGTATTTTTAATTTCTATTTTTGTTTCTACAGTCTAAATTCTTGTGTGTTTAATCCAATGAATAGATATCCTATTTTTTTTTTTTCTAGTCTGTTTAAACATTAGAAAAGGTGTCTTTGTGCTTTGTTTCCTCCATTTAATTTTGTCTCATCTCATCCATTGCATGGGAGAAGGATGACAAGGATTAACCGCATGTAGTAGGTTGTGTGTATCACAGAGTTGGTCTGTATTACTGAATTTACAAACATACATGCAAAGAGTTTGTCTGCATTGTACAGTTTGTGTTTAATATTATTTGTTGTATACACAGATTCAACATGATGAATAAAACATTTATATGAAGGCATACTGAAAAACATCCAGAAAGTTTATGTAAGAAGTAGACTGTGCAAAACATTGTTGTGCTGGCCACAGTTTGGTGAAACTTCATATAAATAGGCTGGCAAACTCAACTCTCCCCTTTCACCATGCCAAAGAAAATTTTAGCTCCTTAATATAATACCTCTCTTGCTGTTCTCTAGGATGATACTTCACCATTTTGTTCCCTCCAAAATTAATTTTGCTGTTAAGTGAAAGCTGTTTCCAACTGTCTGTTACTACTAACATACTGTATAGTAAACCTGATGGAATCAATTTGTATTTACAGATTGAGCGTTTTGTACTTACATGTCCACCTGTCTGTGAATTTGCAGATTTTGCATGCTTGCTTTGTATTTTTTTCTTTTGGGTTTTATCTAACCTCACAGAGACTGTTTGCACAGCAATCTAACTTCATCATACCATTTCATAATGCACATAAATGTTAATGCTGCATATAGGCATCTCTTTATATATATTTTTTAAATCTGCATTTCAACTACGGTTTTATTTGGCAAAATCAGTCACACCTGCACAATTTTACAGATCCAGTTTTAAGTAGATATGAACCACTTCAACAAAGCACTGTTCTGTTATACTTCAAATATTTTATAAATACACAAGCATCCTTAAAAGATATTATAGAGCCTATAGAAAAGTGTCTATAGCTTTTAAATTCTTTGCAGTTGACATAACACAGCTTTTGCTTCATATGATAGGTTTTTTAGCCACATTCAAATCATATTTTAATGTAATGTCATTTTCATAAACTTTAATGTGTGTGGAGTTAGGTTGGTCCTTAATAAACCACCCCCAGATACAAATATAAAGCAATTCACTTTGACTGTGGTATATGCCTGAAACAATGCTTCAAAACTCTGGCCTTTTCTGAACTTTTTCTCTTGGTTTAGAAACATTGTAAGTGATGAGGTGTGAAAGGAGGAAGTTTGGTCCACACATTAAAAGTGTGTTTTGCTGATCCATCTCTTTATTGGTATAAATAATAAATTATTCAGCTCCATTCAGATGGGAATGCGAGTGAAATTAGACAAAGTAAGGACGTTATCTTTCTTTTAAATGCCCCTTTTGATAAACTCATATACTGTGCAATGCATTTTAAAATGCATAATAACAGTTTTTGTGTGTGATTTCTTTTGTGACTAATGCAAATGCTATGATTTATTTTTAAAGCTGTAATAAAATCTTTGTTCTATTACCTAGTGACAAAAATACTCAATTTAGATTTATTTTTTTTTTCATCACAGTATCATTTAGCTACAACGATGTCTTTCTGTCAAGAAACAAGGACAGTGCATCAGAAATATCAAAGCAGGTACAGGATTAAACATTCTTGTATGTGTTTCTGTAAGAGTATATGGCAAGTGAAAAAAAGGATCATGAGGAGGTTCATAATTTACACAAGCAAATCAATCCATAGCTGTTTTACAGATGATTTTACAGATGCTATATACAAAAGGCATACTCCCGAAAGTCTTCTGTAGAACCGTTCTGCACACCTCTGGATTGTGTTCTTTCTATCAGAACAAAGCAAGGGTACAGTATCATTGTTTATAAGCTTTATCAATCTATCCATAATGAACTCCCCATTTACCCAATTTGTTTTCACCACCTACAAACACCTTTTGCCACTGGCCTTGGAAGCAAGTTTTTACATCCACCACATAAAAAGAATCAGCCAGTATGTTTCCGTCCCTTGCGACTTTTCCCTCTTTTACTGTTTATGTATCTGGAACTGTTTATGTCACAAGGAATGAGGTGTTAAAAATCACAGTTTATTAATACAGCTATTATTTTCACATATGCAGAATAATAATCTTATTTCTTCCGTTCTCATTTTTCCAGTGAGGAAATGAGCCACAAAACGGAACTGCTGGGAGTCCTATCTCAGCATGAAGGGGGTGGGAGGAATGTTCAAACAATATAATAAGAAACAGAATAAAAATTTGAAAGGAAAATATGTATTCATTATATTTTAGCAGTCTTAGAAAATATTTTAAGGTTTATAGTGATAGCACCATTTGATTTGATAATTTACATTTTAATTAGCCACTGACAATAGTTGTCTTAGAATATTCTAATGTTTTCCCATATATACCTTAACAAAAAATGTGGATAACACTTTTGAAATTCTGTGGCCATGTAATCCACTCAACAGCCAAAATGTTGACTTTGATTCAAAACAACAACCAACAAACAAACAAACAAACCAGAATAATCTTACACTAAGTATATAAATTTTAAATGAAAGCAAACTACAAAGTAAAATACATCAAATGGGACATTGTAACCCTCTATAGAAGCCTTTTTTTTTTTTTTTTTTTTTATGGACATGAGTACCTGGAATTCCAAGGCTGATCTATGGTACATATAAATAAATCTGTTTGTCATACCAGTAAACAAGCCAAAAGCATGCAATGAATCTAGAAAGCATTTTTATTATCACAGAATCACAGAATATTTCTGTTATTACAATACTAAATACAAACAGAAGGAAATCAAATACAACATTGTATTTTTCATTGTTTGCTCTCTGACTCAGCAGAAAAATGTATACGTGAAAAAACACCAATTATAAGAGGATTGTCAGCAGTATTCATAAATACAAACAAACTCAACAATCTGTGCTATCCAGATACCAGGGCTGATGAAATGAATATATGTTAGAATTTAAGAAAATATTTCTATTAATCTGTACACAGTTTAAGGGTTATAAGTATAAAATATAAATAATTATTTCAAGATGAATTTTACTTTGAAGTTTCTTAATCCTGTATCAATACATTTTAGAACTCTGCCTGATATTTTGGTAATCTAAAAAGAGAGCAGTTAGCAGCTTTGGGATACATGTCTTGTTATTTATGTGCATAACTCCTATATAAGTTATGCATGGTTATTTGGTGATTTTACTATGCCTCCCTGAGAACATAGGTTTCACAAGCTTCACTTTTAGAAAAAAAGAATTCAGGTTAAGGAAAAAAAATGGGAAAGATAAAGTTACATGTGAAGGGGGAATAATGAAAGTGACTAAATACATTCATTCAATTTTTTTTGCATTTTATTATACGTTCTGTACCATTGTATTTTCCTATTTCAAAATTGTCCTTTCTAAAAGAAAACAGATTTCTAGATGAATAATGGAAATACCTTTTTCAAATGATATTATAGTTCCCTTATTTCTGAGTCATGTACCTCTTCAAAAATCAGAACCTTGGCACCTAAACCACAATGTTAGTTTGATATTAAAAATAAGTATTTTCAAAACATTTAAGCAATTTCTTGCTCAATCATGACTTCACAAAATGTAAACACTTTTGAAACTAAAATGTATGTATTTTTTTTGCTCTAAGGAATTAAAGGGCTGCCAAATCTACATGTATTAAAACAAAAAAAAAAAAAAAAAGAGAGAGACTCATATGTAAATAAGTTAGGGAAGTCCCAATAGTTGTGCATCGTTCATAACTCAATGTGAATTTCACACTGAGCATATCATCATTGGAAAATAAAAATAAAATTTTTGTTCATACCACTGCTTTGTTTGTATTTACTGTATTAAAACTTCAATTACTTGTTTGAGCATCGTTGGCAGAGACCAGACTACAGCACACCACATCTGATTTTGCAGGTCAGTTGACCTTCAGGCTCCCAACTTCTTTGAAAACAGTGAAATTCAATGAATACCATGTGTGACAGTGCATTCTGTTCCAAGCAGTGATTTCTAATAACATACAGAATTGTCATCCTAAAAGTTATTAGTATAACAAATTTTCATTTGCTTTACTTTCAAAAGGACTAGGCAGCTATACATACATAAAACATTATGAGGAAAGTACATGTGAAATGCAGGTTATATATTTGGAATAGCTAATCATACATTTATTTCTTTATTAGTTTAATTCCTTATACTTCTATAGGTTATGCATTTGGAAGTATTGTAGTATGTAGAATGAATAACCAACTTATGACACTCTAACAGAAACTAAGAAGTTCTTTTGCAGACAAGGGTTTCTTCAAACATTTTGGGTTTTCAGTCTGTGGTTGTCATGTAACTGAACATCAGTTATACAAATACAATTCTTTGACTAAAAAAATAATGTTTTGATAAGCTTCTTTACTGCTTCTTCTGGATCTGGGGAATAATCAGGATGGTTAGAAAGAAAACAGGTTCAAACTAAGTATTTGATAAACAGTGTAAAGTTAATCAAATTAAGTATTTGACAAATACTTAACTAGTGCTACTCTTATACTGCAATACTGTTGCATACTGATAGGGAGAGCCAACAAACAAATAGATAACGTAAAAATAAAAGGGTTTCTCACACTTTTCCCCAAAGATTGCTTTAGAAATAGGCATTAGGGGTGTAATCTCAGCCCCACTGAAGTTACTGAGGCACTGTAGATGACCCTTTTTTTTTTTTTATAATTTCAGCATATAGAGCTTGGACTATCCTGCTCCGAAATTATTATTATTATTATTAGTTTTCTCATTCATTTCTTTAAGGAGCAGACTCTCACATTACTGTTCTAGAGTATTTACACCCATGTATATGTGCTTCCAAATTAAATGCTCTAGCAGCATAAAGAATAGTCAGACCAAAAAAACAAACAAACAAACAAACAAACAAAAAAACAAACAAAAACAAACAAACAAACAAACAAACAAAAAAAACCAACAACCTCTAAGTCTCTGGTGTCCTTTGTTAAGGGTATTCTGTCCCCAGCCAGATTTCACAAGCATTTCCATTCCATCCTTCCCAGCATTCGCAGTTTCCACAGTTACAAACACCATTGCCTAGAACAGAATGAATAAAGAATGAATAAAGGGCAATTACCATTATTGAAATGTGCTACATCAGAATGTGTTTTATGAGGAGGAAAAAGCCATGTTAAAGGAGGTGCATTGTTCCTTTATTATTCCCCCAACTTTTTTTTTTCTTTTTTTTTTTCTTTTTTTTTGTGGAAGGAAGCAATTATTGCACCATTGCATTAAGAAGCCACCTCAAACCCTCAAACCCACATTTACATGTAATTAATAGGCATTCTCTCAATAATGCCATCAGCAGAATTGCAAATATTGTAATTATGCCACTGCTATTTGCACCCAGCTGTTGAGGCTCACTGTTTCATACTGTATGTTGAGGTACAAGAAGAAACAAAAATTTTTTTTAATGATGATGCAGAGATAAAATGTTACAAACAGAATATTAACAAAAATATCCCTTTGAACCTGAAAAACTTTAAACCTAAATTCTCAGAAGTGTTATACAAATATTATCAAGCTCTCTATTAGATGAAAAATGCATTGGTACTGTTTTGCAAAGGGGAACATTAAGTACTGAGACCCAGATTTTGATGTTATTTCAATAATTTTCATGACTCCTGGATGTTCAGCTGGAGACCTCTACAGACTGGGTTTCTGATGTGAGATGCTCTTCCTGCCGACTCTATGAAGAACTGTGAATGGCCACTGCCACTACGAATCAGGCTTTTGTTGCTTCTGTACTGGCTACATGCCCCAGAAAAGGACCCTTGCTAATTGGGCTAGCTGGGACACCACATTTGTGAACACAGTTTACTACTGTCAGCCTGACTCTAACCATCTCACAGATTTCTTCCACAGCTAATAATTGCTCAGCAAAGATTTTCTAAAATTAAGATCTGTAACAGGAAGCAGCGAGCAAGTTAATTTAACAATTCCCTTGTTACTGCCTGTCACCAGATTTGTCATGAGTGTTTGCTGGCAGCCTCCCCAGTTTTATTTGCATCTGCCACCTGAATACTTGGACAATGTTAGGATGACACCACTTTAATCACTGGCCATCACGTCATAAGAAAACTGTCAGGTATTTCACCCTCTCACTGAGAACTGTCTGATTGAAGGAAGATCCCCTAACCAATGCCTCTATGCCTCTCACCTACCAAAGATCATCAGCCAAATGAATGTTTTCTGTGACATAAATGTATTATACACATAGAAAATCCAGCACAAGAACAAAAGTTAAAGAAATCTTATGATGACAATGCTGCCACTATAAGTTCTTTGTCAAGGAAGAGTCAATTGTAGTCTACTACAGTGGAAATTGTGGATAGACTTCATAGCTGTTGTACTTATTTTAATTCATACTCAGACTTTCAAATGTTGATTTGAAATCTTAAGTTGATTATCACACTGCATGAAGAAACAATTACAGTGTGTTCGAATAACCCACAAATGCACTTCCTCCATCAGTGGAGAAAGAAGATGGGCTTTGTCTAACAATTTCCATCAGCGCTGTTTGTTTCTTAGAGCAATTAAGTGTTAGCCCATACTGCACCTGTGCAAATGAGACTATCATGTTTGTCACAGTCTCTGTCATCACATTCACAGAAATCGCCCGAAATGTACCATTCCTGTGGTGAACAGATACACTTTCCACAGTGGCAGGAACCTGAAATCACAAAGATTATTACTCACAGTCAAAGAGCACTGTCATTTTCAGGCTAGAAAATAACATCCCCAGACATGCGTGCACACACGCACACACACATGCACAAAATTGCTACCTAAGAAGCTATTGTATAAAAGAAAATAATCAAGCTAAAAGCTTTTTGAATAAAAGGATTCTTTCAAAGTCACCGTGAGTATGGCAGAACGTTCCTCCTAATGCTTTCATTCTGCTTTTTCACTTAATCAGGACTCACACTTTGAAGCTTTCCTTTGGTTTCTGAGACCTACAATCAGGGCCAGTCTTCCGAGAAACTGTTTTTTTTTATGTGTTTTTTTTTTCTTTCTTTCTTTTTTGACTAGAAAAAGCTCAAATTGTCCTTGACCCACTGTTACTGAAGGCAATAAAATCATACCAAGAAGAAAATGGCCCTCCACATCTAATGCCCTTAGGGATGTGCCTACAAAAGACCCAAAGTCTACCATTTAGACCCAAAAAATCTTCATCATCACAAATTACGCTGCTCCACCTCCTATGGAATAACTAAATATTTTCTCTAGGTCAGGAAGTGTTTGTGCACATAGTTATGGTTCAGCTGTTTGCTTATTCCTGCAGAGTACCCCAATGCCTGTTTTTGGAATAAACTGTTCTCCTCCTCTCCAGGGACGTCAGGTTGCATCTCACCAAGCAAAGCAGGGACTCTGTGGTGACATTTGGGTAACACCACCCATAACCCACCAAGAAGTGGGGTAGAACCAGAAACCTCCCTTTAAGGAAAAACTCAAGAGACATCCCTATCTTCAGGAGAAGGTTCATGGCTCTGAATCCTGAAAAAGGGCAGTTGCCCCTGGACGATCATAAGTTGAGAAGTCTATAGTTTCAGAAGGGTCTGAGAGAGGCTTTTATGCAACTATAAATGCCACTGGTTATTTCCTCCTGGCCGACTGCAACATTTGCCTGAAGAAAGCTGGCTTTTATGAAGCCCATCCTCAGCTGCCGGAACCTCCTTCTCTATACAGAGTTCAGATGCTTAAATGCCAAGGTGAGGAGCTTAGCAAAAAATCCTTTGAGCAAAAATTCTTTTGTGGACCTAGCTCTAAAAGGATGTTACAGCACACAGCAAAACAAAACTATACAAAAAGCTCTAAAAAAAGAAACCCATCCCAAATAAATGATAACAAAGAATACATTTGCAGCTTTCAGTTACAGGAAGTGGAGTTTAAAGTGACCAAAGAAGCTGTTGACCTTTAACAGGACATACTTATAAATGAGTTAGATGCTGTTGAAAATCACACCTTTTTGCAATATTTCCAGAATGATTACAGCACAAAGCCACCAATTTCTTTAATGCATTATTAAAAAAATTATATAGAGAGAGGTTGATTCTGTCAGAATGTAACTTAAACAGAATGCATGGGTTACTTAATAGGGGCTAAGACACCTTTCCATTCCTTTCACCGACCTCTGAATAAAATCCAAATCCAAATGTGGATTTGTTGACATCAAACAATTTTCCCAGTTTTTTCCATAAGCGCTAAAGTCTCTCTGATCACTGAAACTTAATTCTTTAAAACTTCAGAGCAGCCTCAGCAGAGTATCTATTTTTTTCATTAAAATTTAACTCACTAATTCAGTTTATTGTAAGTTGACAAAAATTGACTCAATGCCTACTTTTAGAGAAATGTTTTAACCTGGAACATGTAAACGTACAGTGGAAGAACTAATGATTGGAACATTTGGGAATGGGCATATTTGGTTAAGTATCTATTTTTTCTGTGGGTTCAGTGTGTATTGCTTACTGTGCCATCAGCATAGAAAATATTGACATTCCTTATAATAAGAAAAAATGACATTACACAAATAGGCAATGAAGAATTGCATATATATTGCATGGCCACTCTATAGAAGCTACACTAAGACATACTTGAGAATCATCAAAGCAGATATCCCTGTTTATAAAAGCTAAAAGGTACTGACA